AACTGGATGTACTAAATGACTGATGAGTCAGGAGGCACCCCATGCAGCAAGCAGAGAGGTGCTCCAGGGAGTTGTACAAAAGGGAAGGTTTCTGTAGGAGGAGGAGGAGGGGCAAGAAAGTCACTGGCAAAAGAAAACAATTATTCCAGATAAGGCCACTTTTTAGGGTGAAGAGCAAGATGTCTTAGGCAGATTACTTCCTTTTTCTTTGGGGGATGGAGAGGGCTCCAGTGGCAGACTCACTGGTATGGACTGAAAAATCCCTAGCTGACTGGCCAAGGCGACATTTCTGGGGGGTGTTGAATCTGCAATTAGAGGATATATTAAGCACCAGTTTAGGAATTCTGTCTATGTCACACCATTTGGGGCCTGGGCTTTCTTTTTTCTTAATTGTACTATTGATGTAACTACATTGTCTTCTAACCTATGAACATGGTATTTCCATTTATCTTCAAGTCTTTCACTTCTTTGGTTAGGTTAATTCTAAGTATTCTTTTTTGATGCTTTTGTACAGGGGATTGCTTTCATAATTTCTCCTTCAGGTTGTTCATGGTTGGTGTGTAGAAATGCAACTGCCTTAGGGGTTGACTTCGTATCCTGCCCTTTGCAAAGTTGTTCATCAGTTCTAATAGGTATGTGTGTACACGCGCCTGCGCGTGTGAAATCCTTAGGGTTTTCTACATATGATATTCTATTATCTGTGAACAGGTTTAATTTTACTTCTTTTTCTTGCCTGTTGCTCTGGCAAGCACTTCTGGTACCATGTCAAATAGAAGCGTAAAGGTGGGCACCCTTGTCTGGTTTCTGATCTTAGAGGAAAAGCTTTCAGTCTTTCATCATTCAGTAAATATGAGGTTTGCTGTGGACTTTTTACATATAGCCTTTATTATGTGGAGGCAGTTTCCTTTATTCTTTACGGAGTGTTTTTTATCATAAGAGGGAGGTTGAATTTTGTCAAATGCTATTTCCGCACCTATTGAGATGATCCAGTGGTTTTTCCCTTTGTTCTGCTGATGTGGCACATTATACTGATCAATTTTCATGTCGAACCCTTCTTGCATTCCAGAAATAATTCCCTCTTGGTTGTGGTGTATAGTTCTCTTTTACTATGCATCCGAATGTTTGCTAGAATTTTGTTGAGGAATTTTACATCAACACTTATCCAGGGATATTCATCTGTAGTTCTCTTGTTTTCAGGGAAGTGCTGTTCTCATAGAATGAGTCAGAAAGTGCCCCCCCCCTTCAATTTTTGGGAAAAGGTCATGGTTTGGCATTAGTTCCTTAAATGTCTGGGATAATTCAGCAGTGAAGCCATTGAGTCTAAGCCTTTCATCGCCAGAAGACTTTTGATCAATGATTCAGTTATAGGTTGCTCCAAATTTTCTATTTTTGGATTCAGTTTTGGTAGGCTTTGTGCACATTTTCTTTTTCTTCTATTTAAATTCCACGTAGCATACAGTGTAATATTAGTTTCAGGCGCAGAATTTAGTGATTCATGGTTTTGTGTTTCTAGGTATTTTTCATGTAGGTTATTCCACTATGGCATGCAGTTCACGGTGTGTTCATAATCCTTTTTATTACTGAGGAATAGTAATAACATCCCCATTTTTCATTTCTGATTTTAATAATTTGAGTCTTTTTCTTTAACTAGAAGTTGGTCAATTTTCTTGATCTTTTCAAAGAACCACCTTTTGTTTTCATTAGTTTTCTCTTTTCTGTTCTCTATTTCTGCTCTAACCTGTATTTTCCTCCTCCTCACTCTGGGTTCAATTTGTCTTTCTAGTTCCTCAAGGTGTAAAGTTAGGTGGTTGATTTTAGATCTTATTTTTTTTAACATAAGCATTTATAGTTATACACATCTCCCTTGGCACTGGTTTCACTGGATCTTATAAGTTTCAGTATTTTATATTTTCATTTTCATTCATCTTGAAGTATTTTCTCATGTCCTCTGTGACTTCTTTGATCCACTGTTTGGTTATGAGTGTGTTCATTTCCAGAAAAAGGTGAATTTTCCAGTTTTCCTTCCGCTAATGATTTCCAACTTCATCCTACTGTGGTTGGAGAAGGTGTTTTATATGCTATCAGTATTTTTAAATATGAGACTAGTTTTGTGTCCTAACATATGGTGTCCTGGAGAATGTCCCTTGTGCGCTTGAGAATTGTGCGTGTGGTGTCCCTGGGTAGAGTTTCTATGCATGTGTTACATCTGCTTGGTTTATTGTGTTTACATCCTCTTTTCTTCTGGTGGTGGCTCTATACATTATCAAGAAGAGGTATGGAAGTTTACAGCTATAATTGTAGAACTGACTTTCTCCCTTAAATTCTTAGTTTTTACTCCCTAGAACTTGATGGTCCATCATGAAGTGTGCATTTATTTAGATATTAATATAAAGATACTGAGTCTTGTATTGCTGTACTATTGCTATACTGAGTCTCATATTATATAATTGTCTCATGCAACCTTTATTTAAAGTCTATTTTGATATCAGCATAGCTGCTCCTCCCTTTTGGTTACTCTTGGCATAGAATATCGTCCCATGCTTTCACTGTCTTTTTTTGGGTCCAAAGTGAGTCATTGTAGACAGCATATAGTTGGATCATGTGTTCTTATCCATTCTGCCAATCTCTGTCCTGATTGGAGAGTTTAATCCATTTACACTTAAGAAATGACTGATAAGGAGGGAATTTTGTCATTTTGCCTTTTGTTTTCAATATGGCTTACAGCCTTCGATTTCTCATTTCTTGCTTTCCTGTCTTCTGTTAATTTCTTTTCCTTTAGTGAAATGTTTAAATTCCTTTGTCATTTCTTTTTGTGTATATAGTGATCTGCTGTTCCTGTGGAGGTTACACTGAACATCTTCAACTTCTAGCACTCCGACTGGTTTTTATTTATCCAGCTCACCTTCAGTAACCTACAAAACGCTATAGCTCTGTCCCCACCCCTTTCAGTTGCTGATGTTACAAAATTCTATCTTTATGCATTGTGTGCCCCCAACACAAACTAAGAATTCTTCCAAATGCATTTTGTCTCAAATTACATGGAAAACAAAGTGTGGAGTCCCAAAGCAAAGTTGCATTAATACTGGCTTGTTGGTTGGGCTTGACCAAGGCTCTGTTTCTGCTGGCCAAGTAGAAAGATGGGCAAGAGAACCGATGTCTGGAAGGGAGGGGTGATCGTCATGCCTGTGGAGCCAATGCCGGGAAGGAGGGGGCTTGGCAAGAAAGTGAGGACAGGCTTTACAGAATGACAGGTTGCAGGTCTTAGAGTATTTGAGAGTGGTTGTCTTGGGGACATTGGAGTAACATACTGGAAGGACAGACCAGTCAGAGCAGAGAACCTAAAGTCAAGACTCTAGAGGTGGCAGGGTTATGGCTGCTGTGTGGATCTGGAGGAGGTGCAAGTGGCCAAGAGGAAAAGCCTTCAGGGAGGGAGAAGCTGGGGAGTGAGATATGGGGCATCAGCTGGGGTGCTAATGACCAGGGAATGAGAATAAGTTGCAGGGAGTCAGGTAGAGGCTGTGACCAGTAGCTGGCCTGAGCTCCACAGGGACTAATGCTTTTGAGGAGGCAAAGTAATCTGGAATAGGGAAACTGAGAATGAGCCTCTAGTTGGGAGGCCTCAGGGGAATACTGTTGGGGGTGGGTGGGTGGGTGGTGAGCTGTGCTTGGAGGCAGCCAGGCAGCTGAGACCTCCCTGATGAGAGGTTGCACATGTCAGGGTTGGTTCAGGACACACATGGATGTGAGGCAGGGGTGACTGGGACACGCTGGAGTGTGGCCAAGGCTGATTGGAGCTGGCACCAACATACAGCCTGAGCTTAGTTTTCTTATCTGTTCAAATACATGGGCATGCACATGCTTCACGGGCTAGGGATGGGGGTGGGGGGCACAGGGTTGAGAAAGCTGGAGGCCACAGTGCTTGTGCTGAGTGCCGTACACCCACGTCCTTAATGGCCAGCATTTGTGTCCCCCCCCCAACCCCAGCCCACCCTGCGTGGCCTTCCCACAGCACTGGGCTCTGGAGCTGTGGCACCACCCTCCTTGGAGCCCTGGTCAGATCCCCCCCAGGTTTGATGGTAGGAGTTGCACAGAATGACCCCATGCCTGGGCACTTCTTAGAGAACCTTTCTCTTCTCTTCCCATAACTAGGTTAGGAAGGCCAAGTCCCTGGCTCTGGGCATGGGTTTTCAAGCCAATGTAACTTGGGGGCTTGGAGGGGTGGTGGGAGGAAGGGAAGGACAGTGTTCCATTTCTTTCTCATCCTCCAGTTAAATCTTAAATGTCACTTCTGCCAAAAGAAGCCCTTGGCCTCGCCCCACAGTTCTCAACCGGGGGGCCGTCTGCACTTGAGAGATAGGAGGCCAGGTCTGGAGACATTTCTGGTTGTCACAGCTGCACAGTGCTACAGGCCTAGTGGGTCGAGACCAGGGATGCTGTAAACGTTCTATATGTGGTCACCCTGCTCAGCCTTACCCACTCCCCAGGGTCAGTGCCACAGTGCGACACCCTGGCCTACATGGGTCAAAGCCAGTCCCGGCCCTGTTCTTGGCTCCCCGAGCCCAGCTGATTTCTTGGTGGCACCTAATGCAGTCAGTAACTGCGGGGATGGCTGACTTAAGTCCCCCACCTGAGCTCACCTGGAACTCAAGTACAAGATGGCAGGGGTGCTTCTGTCCTGTTTCCTGCTCTATGCCCATGCCTGGTATACAGTAGATGCCAAATAACAATCTGGATGACTAGGAAACCGTAACACGAGGGCTTTTTCTGTATGGCATTTTGATGGTCTCTAAGCTCTGCAGGGCTAACAGCTCACAGTGGGATTTCTGCTCCACTTAAGCTCAAATAAAAACAGGTTGGTCTAAGTGAATGCTGTTTCCTAGGTTCTCCTATGAAATGGCGGATGAGCTTTCTGGAAATCTTTAAAATGTGTATATTGAAAGTTTAGCGAATCCCCCCATTGCTGAAAGAGAACTCAAAGAAACAGACCTTCAATGGACGGTCTAATTTATAAAATGTGACTTTTTATTTTCATTGTAAAGAGGTGTATCTGAACCAGATTGTAACAAAATTACCACAGCTTATTCCAAAAGAAAAGATTAATACAAGAGACTTTAGAAAATTAAACACATTTGTTTAAAAATCCTATTGTGTAAACCTTAACATAAAAGGGTAGTTAACATAATACTACACGTTTCAGAGCAAATATGCGGACTGTTAGGCCCCACGTGCATCCAGACAGTGGACTCGACTCCCAATATGTGGCCATATTCCTCCCAGCAGAGGGCTCACAGGGACCCGGTCAGTGGCGGGAGACCCTTCAGGGTAGACAGCCTCCCCGCTGGGCCCCCTGCTCCTGCATTCACAAGTCTCCCTCCTCCAGGAAGTCCGTACCTGCTAAGGTGAGCAAAGTGATGCCAGCGATGGTGAAGCTGAGGCTGCAGAGGTAAAGACGTTCTTTCTAGGCTGAATCCTAGATAAGAAAACATCCTAACGAGCTCCACTCCCCCCTCCCTTGGAAATGCATGTTGTCCAGGTTCCTCTCAGTGATCCTGGGTGCAAATGTGCAGTCTGTGGTCTTGTATCCTTCCGTGGCCTCCGTCCCAATTTTTTGCAAGCGCCTCTCCCCTCCATGGTTGTCTATTGACGGTGGGAAGAACCTCTAAAAGTGAACGGGTGGCCTCTCTGCCTGCAGTTTGGGAAGGCAGGAAGCTAGACCTGATCAGGCTCTGAGGGGGGCAGGTCAGCTAGTGGTTTTCCAGTCGTGATGGAGAAGCATTCATGTGCCCATAAGAACAGAACCCCTGGACCTCCAAACACTAGTGAATTCGGCATTTTCTACCAATGAGGTGCTCAGCCATCCTTTAGAGAAATCAGATTTTTGTTTTTCCCTAAAGAAACTCATTAGGTATGTGAGGAAGCCCATGCGACGTGTTAAGATTTTGCTGCAAGAGTAGAGGCTCCTTGCCCAAGAGGGTCACAAGCAGGCCCGTACACCACAGTGCTTCCTGGCTGGGGGGCAGGTGAGAGACACAGCATTGAATTGAGCAGGTGCATCTGGGCAGCAGCAGGAGGAGCCCAGAGCTGGTGGGGTCTGAGCGCACCTCTACCCTCATCCCTGCTGATCCAGTAGCTGAAATTTTATTTTAGAAACCTAATCAAAACCACGTGTTACAGAAACATGAAGACGAACTTTTTGGCACAGAAATGTTAGATAAAATATACAGTGCTACAATTGTGCAAAATTAGCACAGAAGCCAAACCCAACAGCAAATATTTAATGTTAGCTTTAATGAAACAATGCAAAATATTTTGAAAAATAATCGTTGTCCAAGACCCTGCTCATGAGCAGATAGATGCCTGCCTGCCGGAAGCACCCTCTGTCTACCGCGTCCCCAGCTGGGGGCAGAGCCCAATGTGTGGTGCAGTCCTGAGTCAAGCACTGGGGAAAGGTCAAGACGATTATTGCCTTTGGGGTTGAAACTGAGATGGAGGTGCACCCGTTCCGGGGCTGCCTGCTGGCTGGTCTGCTGTTTCTGGGCAGGCGGGGCCTTGCCGGGTCTTCCACTGGCAGCTGCAGGCTGTAAGAGGGCCTCTCGGGAGTGGAGTGCCCCACAGGGGATGGGTTCTGGTGCCATACGAGGGAGCCGGGCTGAGGCATGAGGAGACTGATGGGGAGGGGAGCCTGCTGGTACCCCGGAGGACCAGGCCTGGCTGGTACCCTGGCTGAAAGTGGGCAGCTGGGGGGCGGTTGGGGCCCTGTGCCCGGGGCCTCAGGTGAGTGAACGGTCCCCTGTGGAGCTGAGAAAAAGAGAAAACTAGTGTGTTCCAGCCAGAGACCCAGTTCTGGGGGCTGGGAAGTAAGCAGGGCAGCTTCTGATCCGCGGGGCTGGCTGGGAACTCTGTTCCTGGTCCTGACCCTGAGGCCTCCCCTGACGGTGGCCTCTGGGCAGGATCTGCAGCTGTGCTAGGCTGCGAATGTCAACAGCTGTGATTGCCTCTGGTTTTCAAAGGCATGACCCACACCCTGCTACTGCCGACAACGGAGCAGTCAGCTGGGAGCTCAGGAGCGTCGCTGTGGAGCAGAGCGTGTGCCCGCAGACTTCATCCGTGTCCCTCCCTCTTTTGCTAGGGACGACTCAGAAGATGGTTTTGTCTTGACCAGGTGATCCCTTTGTAGCCAGAAAGCCCTGGAGGTGGTGGCTCTTGGTGTTACAGGTGACTGCCAGGTGCCTGCCAGGGGATGTGATGCGCTATCCCGGGTGGGCCCCGCAGCCTTCCTCAGGTGCTAACTTTGGAGGCACCAATGGGTCCTCTTCCTGGATCCAAGAGACAGGAGCAACATCTGCGGGTTCTCTCCATAGCACTGTCTTTCCCTCTGACGAGTCATGGGGCTGAGTGGGTGGTGTGCAGGGCAGGGGCCAGCCAGCCCTCTGAACTGGGTCAGATGGAAGGGCAGCAGACGACATGGCGTGGGGGGGCCGGGGGGAGCATTTTGTGCATCACATTGTAGTCTGCACCCGGCTGGACCTGGGTCTGGTTCTTCCCCTGCTCTGTGTCCATCCCACCACACTAGGGAGCGGTGGTATCTGAGCAGCTGGATGGATGTACCACTGCAGAACATTCTATGACTCCAGAGTTAAGGCTTTAAGGAGTTAGTGTCATGTGTGTGTCACATGTATATCTGAGCTGAAATTGGGGAGGTGGCCTGTGTGCTGAACGTGGTTCTAAGATTCCCACCACATCACGAGAAGGGAGTGCACAGAGCAAGCAGCCCGGATGGTTCACGTGTGGTCCCAGGAACATGCTCTTCCATCTGATTTCAGGAGAGCAGGGCAAGTTTTCCATGAACAATTAAGCTTTAAAAAAAATAGGCAGTTTCTCCTTTTGTAAATACAGGCTGAGTGTGTCATTATTTCTCAAGGCTTAGCATCTGTCCCTTACTATGGGCACTTTTTTTTTTTTTTTAACCTCTGCAGAATGTCGAAGGTTTCTGGTGGGGATTTTGGAGAAGGTGAAGCTAGATTCACACTCAGGGTGTTGTGGGTCCAGTGCTCAAACAGGCTGGTTGAGCAGAACCCTCAGCCATGGGGGACGTGAGCCACAGAGGCTCCCCTCTGTCTCCAAGGGGAACACAGGAGACAGGCAGTGCAGGGGCAGTCTCCCAGCCGGCGTCGTGGGGAGCAGTAAACCACCCTCGGGAAGCAGGACTGGGGCAGCTTGAGCCTTCAGGGTTGGCTCTGTCCAGGACAACTGTGCTCGTGCAGCCTGGGAGGGGACCAACCGGCCCCGTGGGACCCGGAGCTTAAAGGAAGCAACCCTGTATTGCCTTTCAGGGACACGGTGTCTCAGGTCCCCTCGGCCCACGGAGGACAGCGGGTTCATCCTGCTCACGTGGCCTCTGGTCCCAATGTCACCTCAGCTTCCTGTGACTGCCCTGAATCCTTTCTTCTTCCTTCTGGCCGCCGGGGATGCACAGCAGAAACCTTTCAGGTGAGGCTTTCCAGAGGTTTCCTCAGTCCCAGGTGGGAGCTGAAACTGTTTTGGGGAGCGTCCGTGCATGCTTTGCCCTCTCCACCTGCCTCAGGCTGCTGTTGCACCCACGGGGCTGCTCGGTCCTTCCCCGGAACCCGAGCTCCTGGCTGCACTCTGCGGCTAAGCACATGCTCCGGGATGCTGCCGTCTATGGAGCCAGCTGCCGGGCAGTGCCGGGGCTGGGCAGGGCTGCGTGGGTTGGGGTGGGGGCACGGGGTGTGGGGACGCATCTGTCAGCAAGGACCGTGATCTGTTCTAAGCTCACGGGGGGCTGCGCCGAGGGCCCCAAGCCTCTCCCACGACCTCGAGACCTCGTGGCTTGTGAGGTCAGGCCCCAGAGTTCTGGACAACCTGGGCTCTCCAACCTGGGGTCACCAGGCTGCCGCTGCGGGCTGGCCCCTCCAGAGCCCACCTGGGGAGCTCGGGGGCAGTGCTCTAAGCACCCCAGTTCAGCGTCACTCGTGGCTCCTTCACGAGAAAGTCATGGGGCTGTCTCCCTTGAGGAGGCCACGTGAGCTGCCACTGGCCACAATTTCTACAACCAGGGTGTCTTCGGGCCACTGGTAGGGAGTAAAACGGGGAGGCACAGGACCTCCCCGCTCTAACTGCATGCGTCCATAGGTTGTAGCAGGCAGTTACATGAAAAGAAAAAGAAGGGTAACAGTCATCCTGATTCCCACGGGGGAAGGAGTCAAGAGGTGGCTGCTGACCAACCTCAGTTGTGCATCTCCACCCAGGGGCTCCGAGCTCCACGGGGCGCCCACCTTCCTGCTGGCCCCTGAGCTGGAGGGAGGGAACGGGCCGACCCCGGGAGGGTGCCCGTGCGTCCGAATCTGTCCGGCGAGGAGCCTCCTTGCCCTCTGAGACTGACCAGTTTAATCAGTGTCAAGGACTGCTGGGGAAGGTGTGCTCTCCGGGGGATCGCCAGGTGGACGTGGTGGTCACTCCAGGGCGGAGGGGCCAGCTGCGGTGGCCAGGTCAGACGCGGAGGGGCTGGGCAGAGGCAGCTGGCGCAGCACAGAGGGCCCAAGTCTGGGGTTCGGCTGAGGTCAGAGGTCGCCGCTCTGGGGCTCCACGTTGCGGGTCTCTCTGGGGTGACCTCGGGACAGCTTGGGGAAGCGGGAAGCCACTTTGGGGCGGCTGTTCTTGGTCAGTGGTTCTCCAGGAGGGGTAATGTCACTGTAAGACAGAGCAGGGGAGAATCTGATTAAGTCAGGGTGTCCCGCGGGCTGTGGGAATGGCAGCAGCGGTCTCGGGGGGCATCTGTGACCCAGGTCTGACTGGCGAGGACAAGGGGGGAACCCAATTAGGCAATTCGTCTGTCTTCCGACGCGCCCAAGCACAGCTGTGCGTCCCAGCTAGCTTTGGGGCTGTTCATCCTGGACTCGATTTTCAGGCTGTAAGGGAACGTGCTGGTCATGGCTTCCTTCCCCTGGTGCCACTGAAATGTGCCCTTGCTGGAAGATCAAAGAAAGTGCCTTGGAGAACATGGCATTTGAAGTCAAAAGAGGTGTAGCAAAAACGGGGGGACTTCTTGTGGAATTCGTCCTACGAGAATAACCAGGATGTAGGCCAACGTCTAATTATAAGGACGTTCCTCTTATAAAAGAGCCAAGAATAGCAAAACCCCTCCCTGGTCCGACCGAGGGGCTTCCCCATCTCAGTTTTAAACGGTCTATGCGACGGGACCGTGGGAGCACTCCAGCCATGGTGGAGGTGGCACTGACCCACGGGGAGGCCGTACAGGGGAACCCGAGATAAAACGGCGTGTGACCCTGCAGGATGGAGCGGCGGGTCCCTTCGTGCTAGGACTTTCTGGAGCACCATGTGGGCTGAGCCCCGTTGGAGCCACTGGAGCCAGAGCAGTGATCAAGACGCGTTCTCCCAGGCCTGGGGGAGACTCTGGGCCTCCGGGGACGTCGTTAGTCACAGGCTACAAGGGCAGCCGGCGCATCCCTGGGCAGAAGCCTGAGGCCGCCACCTCCAGGAGGGCAGGAGCGAGGCCATGACCCGGCCACCCTGTGAAGTGACCCCTGCCTGCGTGTGGAGAGGGGCTGCTGGGGTCCGGGCTGTGGCCGTGCATGCAGAGGTGGTGAGCTCTTAACTCTCTGTGGTTCTTGTAACAAATGACCCCAGACCTCATGGCTTTAATGCAAAATGTACTGTCTTATGGTTGTGGAGGTCATAAGTCCAAAATGGGTCCAAGGAGCCTGTTGGCGGGGCTCCTAGTTCCTTCTGGAGCCTCCCGTGGAGAATGTTTCCCTGCCTTCCTCATCACGGTCCCCGTGTCCCTCTTACAAGGCCGTCTGTGGTCACACTGGGCCCACCTGTGCCATCTGCCTTTTCAAGTCTCTAACCACAGCTGCAGAGCTGCTGCCCCGTGTCAGGGACACGGGCGTGGACATTCTTGGGGCCCCTGTGTGTGGTAAGACTCGGACTTTAGTGGAACCAATAAGACTTGGTATTGGAACAACGGTGGGCTCTACGGCTGGCAGGAGAGGTGAGAAATAAGTACCTTCTCCAGTAGATACCTCGTGGTACAAAACGCTTTTGGAAACCCAAGCAGAGACCGAACTCCTCATCAGGTCTCGAGTGTGCCTGTCCTGCTGCCTTGCTGGATGTGGGGCCCCCAGACCCTGCGAGGGAGGACAGCCCACCTACCGACGAGCACTGGGGCTCCGTAGGGAGTAGTGGCAGATCCAGAATCCTCCAAGCCCCCTCCAGAGGAGCTTGGCTCCAGGGGTCCTCGTGGGTGCTGTGAAATGCCCCCCATCCTTCCTGTGGCTCTGCAGAGGTATCCGATCTCCATGCCGCTTCTGAGGCGTGGCCGTGGGGCACGGCGAGATGCCCCTTGTGTGGGGTTCGGGATGGCAGCTCAATGACAAAATGCCGAATTCCTCTAGGGACTGCTTTCTGCCTCCGCAGTCGGAGGGGGGGTGCTTTGCTTCGTGTGCCTGGAGCCCGGCCAGCTGCTCCCACACGGGCCTCCCTCGGGACGACAGCTGGCCGTAGGCTGAAGGCCAGCCTGTTGTCCTCTTCTCTGGAAACTAGCCAAGTTACCAGAAGCCTCCGGACCCTGAAGGCCCCTGACAGGATGGGTGGAAGATACTGGAAGGCCTCTTAGCTCATGCTGTGCAGGAGGGCTTGAGTATAAATGTCACTTGAAACCCACTGCCCCCCTTCCCTGTTGAGGACCCAGAGGTACCTGCAAGGTGGGTGTGAGTCCTGCCAGAGCCTGGTGGCCCCAAGGGACTGGCTGCTAGGAGGCAGAGTCCAACTCAGGACTTTGTGTTTCTCCCAAAGGGCCCCTACTGCGGAGGAGGCAGTGGAGCTGTGGTAGTAGGGCAGGGGCTCTGAATCAGGGCACAGTCCTGCCACCCTGAGCCTTGTCACATGGAGGTGACAAGCATGTGGCCCTCACGATGCTGCGGTGAGGAATGGGGAGTTACCCCCACGTGAAGTCACCCACCAGCTGCATTCCAGGCAAGTGCCTTGTTCTCCTTGAGCCTTGGCTTCCAGGCCAGAGGAAAAGCGGGGCTGTTTTGAGAGTTCTGGGGACAGATGGTCACTTGGACCATGTGAGCTATGTTGGCAGAGAGGGGCCCACAGTCTCAGTAGGGATGGGCGGTAGAGGCCTTGACAGGTTAAACCCAGGGTGTTCTGAGCAGGGCACCAGACTGGGCCAACACAGTGGTTGGAGGGCTTCCCAGAGGAAGAAGAGCTGGGGAGGAGGAAGACGAGAGTGTCACATGGTTTCCCATGTGAAGGGCTCTGTGCTGGGAAGTGTCAGCTTGGAGCCTGGCAGGCCCTGATGGCGGCTTCACCTCCTGGAAGGCAGGGCTTGCCGCATGGATGGAGAAGTCACGGACATGAGGCTTGGGGACTTGGAGCGTCACTGCTGGAGCTGAGGGCCTGATGGTAAAAGCAGCTGGTGCATGGGGTGGGACAGCTCCGTCCTCAAGGCCCCAGCCCCCAGCGACCGTGAAGCTGGCTGCAGTGCCAGGTGAGAGGAGCAGAACCTGTTGCAGTAACTCCCTGGGTCCCATCACTGGACACAGGAGAGTGGGGGTGTCAGGGAGCCAAAGGAAGAAGTTAGCTGGTGGCCTATGGCGTGTGTGACGTCTGTAGAAGGTTCGGGGAGAGCAGGAAGCCGTAATAATGACTGGGTAGACGCTGAGGCAGCTGGATAAAGAGCTGCCAGTCCCAGGCATATGTAAGGCCACACCCCAAGGAAGTACTGTTTATCCAGCACTGGCCATCTGCATATTGTCTTTGGAGAAATGTCTGCTCCAGTCCTTAGACCACTCTTCAATTGGGAAAACACAAATCCAAACCACAGTGAGTCTCCCCTCAAACCGGCCAGGATGGTGATTCTCAAAAGACAACTTTTGGGGAGGAAGTTTGAGCTTGGAAGCCTTGTACACTGTTGGTGGGAGTGCAAAATGCTACAGCTGCAGTGGGACACAGTACGGAGCTTCCTCAACCAACCACAGAGAACTGTACGATGCAGCTGTCCCACCTCTGGGTGTTTACCCGAAAGAACTGAAATGAGGATCCTGAAAAGGTACCTGCAGCCACACGTTCACTGCAGCATGATTTACAACAGCCAGGCCACGGCAACAAGCCAAGAGTCCGTGGATGGGCGAATGGAGAGAGGAAACGTGGTGTGTACATGCAATGGAATCTTACTCAGCCTTCAAGGAAATTCTGGCCTATGTGACCCCGTGGATGAATCTGGAGCAGATTATGCTAAGACAGCGAGTCCGCGGAAGCTAAAATTCCATGAGATTCCACCTACAGGCCACGTCTAACATCGTCAAACCCCTAGAATACAGAGTGGAACTCTGGTTATTAAAGCGAGGAGTTCCGAGTCAGCAGGCACGAAGCTGCAGTTACACATGAATCGCTTTGAGAGCCCTGCCTTACGACAGTCTCCCTGTCGTCTCCAAGGTGGTCACATATGCCTAAGACGTAACCGTGTAGATCTCACGTTCTCACCACCGTGTAATTTTTGTGTCTAATACTGACAAATGAACAGTAGCGGAAGGTGTGAGACACTGGGTACGTGTCATCCAGGAGCAGAGAAGGGGTAGCGTGTTGGAGCAGGAGCGCTGCCCCCTCCCTGGGTCCTTCCCCTGAGAGCACTGGGGTCAAGGTCACTGGCGCCCCAAGGCTGTGCACAGGCCATTCCAGGGTAGAGGATTTTGCAAATGACAGAACTGTAGTGACTTCACCACCTCCCATCCTCCACTCCCTCTCTGTCCAACCTGGAGGGAAGGGGCTGGGAAGCAGGGGAGGGAACCTTCTCTCATGTGACCATCCTTGCGTTTCTGGAAAGATCAGCCTCTTAGATGGCAGACCATAAGCTGGCTTGTCTCGACACAGCGGAGGGCAGTCTTGTGTCTCAGGCACCCTGAGGACACGGACGTGGCAGGGCCCTGTAGACTGAGGGCCCAGCCTCTGGAAGATCATCACTGACTCTCTCTCAGAAGGGCCGCACCCTTCCGGGCTTCTGGGTAAGACTTGGTTTCTACCTTGAGGTTGCTCAGACCAGGGGGGTGGGAGTGTGGTAACCGACTGAACCAATGCCATATACCATGCTGGGTGGGGGTGGGGGGTGAGCTGGGGAGGGTCCTGGGGGAGGAGTGAGGCCCAGGGACATACGAGGAAGAGAAGAACAGCGAGAGAGTCTCCAAAAAGGGGATGAACTCCATGCCCCAAGCTGCCTAGAGAGGCAGGGTGGCACAGGGGAGAGGGGGGCCTGGAAGGCTACGAGGTGGCAGAGATCTTGCTGTCCTGGAGCTGCACTAACCTGCTGTCTGCGGATCTCCAGCCAGTGGTGAGTGAAGGCTTGGCTTTTCAAAAGACAAGCCTCTTCTGGATCTGGGCAGTGCTTTCCCCATCACGGACCATGGACGGCTAACGTCACCAGCCCTATCAGGTTGCTGACCTCAACTAAGGACGTAATGCATGAACAGCCCAGCTACCCTCTCTTGGCACTGGCCTCGACATGAACAATCATGCAGATAAAGGTGCTGAGGCAGGGGGAGGTCTTCCCTCTTTCTCACGTGGAGAATGTGCTTGGGGCCTGGCTGCAGACCACACACAGACTTGGCCACGGGTCTAGATGACTGTGCAGCGTCTCCGGTCCCCAGGCTCACTGGTGAACGGGGAGGATC